GATAGTTTAGAATATTTTAATATTACCCTTTTCAAGCCTTTTTTTTTTTTTTTTTTTTTTTGGAGACAGAGTCTCACTCTGTTGCCCGGGCTAGAGTGCCGTGGCATCAAGTCTTAGCTCACAGCAACCTCAACTCCTGAGCTCAAGTGATCCTCCTGTCTCAGCCTCCCGAGTCGCTGGGACCTACAGGTATGCGCCACATGCCGGCTAATGTTTTCTATATATTTGTTAGTTGGCCAACTAATTTCTTCTATTTTTAGTAGACAGGGCCTCACTCTTGCTTACTAGCTGTTTTGAACTTCTGACCTTGAGCGATCCTCCCGCCTCGGCCTCCCAGAGTGCTAGGATGACAGGCATGAGCCACCACGCCCGGTCCCTTTTCAAGCTTTTAGGTAAGGTTAAGAAACAGATTTAATATGTCCCAAACCAAAGGATACAGAATTTTGTGAAATAGTCACCCTTACTCTATGAAATACACTCCGGTATTTTCTGTTCTGATCTGTTTCATTCTTAAAGACACACCTTAAAGTCACCACCCACAAAATTAGTGTCATAACCCACTAATGGACTATCTTGCAGTTTGAAAAATACTGTGCATGAGGCCTGCTTTAGCATAACTATAACGCTTAAATGAACACAGCATGAGAAATGTTGAATCCTACCGCCCTAAAAATGCTAGATGCTGAGACGAACTTCTCCCAAAACTGCAGGAAAGAAGATTTCAGCTTCTTTCCTGAAAGACTCACCTCCTCGCTGTCTCCCCACCCCTCCCTCCACGCTTGCGCTAATACCTGTGCAACTTCTTCCATCCCCACCTCATTCATCTTGTTCTCTGGAACCTTTTTGCTCATCCTCCAAGTCGGGACTTGGTTCCCTTCCACATGTTCTCAAAGCACCTACGAGATCATCTACGTAAAGCGCTCAGCACGACCGGTGGCCTATCGTGACCGAACAATAATCATTAGACTACATCCGCTTTGTCGGTTTACTTTTAGGACCTCCCCTCCCCCATAGATTGTGCAGTCCATGGGGAAGTTTTGCTTGCAAAAACTTCCAGGACGATACCCATTCTGCTTGTGCAGACATATAAACCACTAGGTTGAGATTCTTTCCTGTGAACACTCCGCACCCAGTCCCTTAGGCATGACAGGCTTAAAAAAAAAAAAAAAAAAAGACTTGGCACCAGCCCACGCTCTTTAGCTAAAAGTGCTAAGAGTAGACCCTTGGCTGTCTTCCCCACCCGCAGCCCTCTGAGCTGCCCACGCCCCGAGGATGCTCATTTAAGTGCCTCGTGAGTGGACGGCTGCCAAGGTGTGGAGCAGTTTACGATGCCAGCCAGGTGCCGAGTTCACGGCCAGGTAAAACAACTCCGAAATGCTGGAGAGAACTTGAACGGAGCTGACATCCATCGGTAGGGAAACCAGTAACGGGTTCCTCCTGTTCTTAGAACAGGATCAAACTCTTCTGTCTGACTTAAAAGTAAGGTGGCCCTGCAGAGCGGTTTGCCCGGGACACTCTGGGTTTGTACCTGCTTTCCCGGTTTTGTCATTAATAATGTCCCCTTTCACTCTCAAACGTGTCCCAGCCTGGAGGATGACTGGCAGGGCTAAGCGGCTCATTGGCCCCGTGTGATCTGGCGTAGCCAACCCCCACCCCCGGGCTTCAGCCAACGATTACACCACCTGTGCTGGTTCTGGAAACATCACTGCCATCGAGACCATTACGCTCCTCATTTCACAAACAGGGAGAATGGGGGGCTCTGAGAAGGTGATCGATTAATTGATGAAGATCAAATTCAGCAAATGAGCGAGGAGAGTAGAGGTCTACACGGACGCTTCCGGGCTTAGCCTGCTCACTCCCACTCACCTGAGAGGCTCACACCAGGTCTCGCTCGTGAGGATGCTGTGGGCAGGTGCCGCGGGGTCGTTCTATCACGTGAACACTGCTCCCGCCTCCCGGACCACCCCACCCCCCGGCCTGGCTCTATCCTCAGGTCTCTGCTGAGCTGTCATTTACGGCTCTGGGGCATCTTCTCAGACACCCCGAATCTAGGTGCTCCAGTGACATCATGAGTGTCCCCCTATTGTAACCCTTATGCAGCCATTCTGCGCATGTTTACTGAGGACCTGGTATGAGCCAGGCCCTGTTGCAGTGACTGGGGTGTAGCTGCGGACAGAACGACAGCCCACGTGGGGTTGCATGCTACAGGAAGAAGGAAAAAAAATATATATATAATACTTGCATAACACTAGACACTGACACACAATAATACAAATATCTCGTGCATTCATCATGCTTCATTCTAATTTCCTATTTGCCGGCTGCCTCTCACCCGGGTTGCGTAGCAGTGCGGTGTGTGGGTCTGAGGCTCACAACAAAAGCCCGATGAACTCATCAATGGCAGTTTCTCTTTCTGTTCTCTCCTGGGAATTTGCTTTAGTCTGGTCACGTACACAAGATAATTGACGCTGCGAGTCGTCTTCTATAGAGCATCCTACACACTCAGGGTTATTAATACTGATTCTGCCTCGACAGCAATGCATTTCTGAATCACAGGTCCTTCATGGAGGTAGGATAACCCTACCTACAGGGACGTTTTGTTTGTCTTTTAGGGGCTCTCCTGCCCATGGCTCCCCTAGTCCTTCAGGGGCAGCGTGCGTAGGAGGTCCCCCAGGGATTCTGCACGGCAAGAAGGAGTACTGGCACACGCCGAGGTGGGAACAAATCAACCAACTCAGGAGTAGTGTCTGCCTATAGGTCCCTGACACCAGGCGCCCAGTGATTTGGAATAAAGTTAATTGGCTAACGTCTCACATCTACTAGAATGGCTACTATCAAAAAGACAAAAAAGTAATAAGTGTTGGTGAGGACGTGGAAGAACTGGAACCCCTGCACATCATTGCCGGGGTCATAAAATGCTGAAAATCAGTATGGCGGCTCCTCAAAACATTAAACATAGAATCACCCTATGACCCAGGACTTCCACTCGAGAGCATTGAAAGCAGGATCTTGAACAGATATCTGTGCACCCACCTTCCTGGCAGCATTATTCACAACAGTCAGAAGGAGGAAGCAACCCCATGGCCATGGACAGATAGATGCATGGATAAGCAGGCTCCGGTGCACACATACGATGCAACATTATTCATGCTTAAGTAATAAGGAAACCCTGTCACATGCTGCAACATGGATGAGCCTTGCAAACATTATGCTACGTGAAATAAGCCAGTCACCAAAGGTCGGACACCGTACGATTCCGCTTACATGAGGGAAGTAGAATAGTCACAATCACAGAGACAGAGAGCAGAGTGGGGGCTGCCAGAGGCTGGGGCGGAGGGGGCTTAGCAGTTAGTGTTTCATGGGGACAGAGCTCCAGTTTTATAAGTTGAAAAGAGCCCTGTGGATGGGCAGTGGTGATGGTTGCACAACAACGTTAACCCTTTGCACTCGGATGTCGAGTGTGACTCGACAGGGTTAAGTGGAATAAAGGAATCGAGAAAAAAAGCAAGCGAGTGCAAAGGGTTAATTGACTGAATGCCACTGAACTGTACACTTACACGTGGCTAAGATGGTAAATTTCATGTTATGCCTATTTCACCATAATTAAAGGAATTAATTGGTGAGTCACCCAGGACTGCAGATTAATCCTGCGTATAATATCCAGCACACAAATTGTAAACAATAATGACTCAATAGAACCCTTCTTCACTCTTCTGCTAGCTCTGATTATTACTAATAGTATTAGCTTAACTCAAAAGTTAGCATCAACCTGCAGTAAGCTGCACAAGGACGTGCTGTCACAATGAGAAACTTTAAATATCTAATTTAATCCCAGAGTATAAGCTACGATTCTGCTGCGTTTGGGTGAGCCCTGGTTCTCAATCTGCCCCCGGAATATGTTGGGATGAAAGAGAAGTCAGAATTTGACTGTGTATATATAAATGCCTGGCATGTTAAAATAATGAAAGATATTTCCATCATTGTAAGGAAACCCCTTTTGCTTAAAGGTGTTTCTTCTGCTTTAACATCATGTTTCTTTATGAGTTTTCTCAGGATTTCTGCCTTACAAACTGGAAGAATTATGGAAAAGCTAAGCTGGATGGCTAGCTGCTTAGAAATGAGATGCTTAAAGTTTTAAAATAATGGACAGCAACAGATAGAATGCGTTTAATGCTAATTTCCCTATTTTAATTACAGATTTTGATTTTGGGGAAAAAATACAGAATCACATGATGCATCTGTGTTTCTGGGATTTTTCATCATATAACTGTATCATTTTAAATAATTTGGAGGAAATTCTTTTTTTTTAAAAAAAAATAAAAGATTGAACTCTATAAAAAAGAAATCACCTGAAATCAAATATGCCCTTGTTAACAAACCATTTACATTAGACTAATATATCAGGAGCAATTTTAGGGGCAAACAACACAATCAGTAATTCTAATAATATCAGATGCATTAAAAGGGAAGTGCTCATTCTAATTCCCGGTTTAAAGAAAGGCAAACATACTATAATTAAATACTGCATTCTAAGGAGATTTGTGTGTGACGGTTTCCGTCCTGAGTCTCTGAAGTTATAGATTTGTGCCAGAAGCCCACGCTCTTGAAAGCAAATCCTGGACCCAACCCACAGGAATTTTAGCTGAAACATCTAACTCATTATATGGAAGAATTCGGTCTTTTCCGCAGAAGAGAGAGAATGCAAGTTACAATGGGATGAGGAATCTGTATAGAAAACGACCCATGACAAATGGGCCGTGCGGCCTCCAGGGCCAGCCGTGAGCAAGAGAAACAGAGTGTAGATTACAGAGAGGGCCGAGGTGTGAATAACCGAACAATATCTCTGTGAATACCTGCAAGACAAGCAAGACAGCAACACAAGTCAAAATTCTAGGAGTCCCGCCATGTCAACTAAGTGCAGAGACCCAGCGTGGCGTTCTCTTGCGGCAGGTGGAGCCGGTGAGAAGACAGAGGTAAAAGTTTGCCCACGTAATACTCACTATCCTGAGCCACCACAGCGGAGGACGGTGGCAGAAATGAAAGTGACAAAGCGGAGAGGGACAAGAGTCTTCCTTGGGAGTTCGCATTTTAAAAGTACAGAAGACAATCACAGGACCCGGAAACAGGTTATTTCCGGAATTCAGAAACAAAAGTGCATGAGCGAAAAGAAAAGCAAAGAACAAAAGTATCTGATTGAGTCGCCATGGCTGACGTGCGGGAGTTGGGCAGCTGGGGCCTGGCAGGTTCTCCAAGATCTTCTTATGCCGCATCTTTAAATAGGCGGACGTCCGAGGGGCACGAGAAAGGGCCTAACGAGACCATTCTGCGGCAGACACCTGCGCGAGACAATGGCCCAGCTCTCAGGGCTCTTAGGCAGCTGCGCATAAACTTCAAACGGAATCTGCAACCAAATTAGTCAATGTCACCCTTCTTCCCACTAGACACAGCGTTTTTTAAAAGACAGCGAGCATCCGCCGTGTAAAGCCTGCCATTTTACAAGAATTTTACCAAAAGATACGTTAGGGGAAAAAAAAAAATGAAGACGGGGATTCGCAAGCTTGGGGTACGGACGTGGGCTGGGGGACCCGGGGCCTTGCCAATAGGGCTTGTCTATCTCTCACACACACACACGGCCAGGAAGGGACGGGTGCTCTAGGGGACAAGGCTGGCACCAGAATCCCAATGCCTTAGAATTCTCTTTGCCAAAAGAAAAAGACAAAGAAGCTGGAGCTGAGGGAAAGCATGGGGTGGGGGTGGGGGGTTCCCTCGGATATCGCAGGAGGTTCGTGAAAACAATCCAACAGGTACAGTTTGTGCTCTGGAGGTTCCAGGGCACCAGGAACTTCAGGGACCTGGGCACTGGGCACAGATGGGCCACTTTCCCCACTCACAGGAAAAAGCAATGAGTTCTCGTTCCACTCCCCACCCACCTCGACATCCGTCAGCCTGTGCCATCACTCAGTAATCTCTTAGGAGCACCACGGCCACCCGGCACAGTGGCACGGCCAGCCCGGAGGACAGGGCAGTTCCGTGGTCCTTCCCTTTGCAGAAATGACAAGAATCCCGCAGTGCAGCCAGTCTCTGGGCCTCTCTTCCTGCGCGTGGGGACTGCCCACACCTTTAGCATTAAACAGTCACTCTCCCATGGGCAGCTGCGGCTCTCCAAAATCCAGTCCATACAGAGACTGTATTGACCCGACTGCACTGCGGTAACATGGCCCCCAAAGCCGGAACACCGTCTCACTCGAGGTTACAGGACTGAGCGCCCAGACCTCCCTCTCCCCTCCCCTCTGTCTGAACCCCCATCAAAGACCTGCTTCACCCTAACCCAGGCCTTGACAAGACAGACACTTGGTTTGTTCGGGAGTGAAGGTGGCAGCCCTGCCGGCCCTTCCAGCAAATTCCCTGCAAGCAGGTGTCCTCCCTGGACAGGTGGCCGTCTCCAGAAAACACCTCTCCTTACACCATTTTGCCAAGACACAAAAACTTTCCTTTCACCGCCCCTCTTCCCATACGCTCCCTTTAGCTCGGGTGAGAGGGAAAAAGGAGGAAGGAGGGGGCGCCCCAGGCCTGCGCCCCTGCCCGCCCCATCGCGGATCCTGCGCGACCCGCACCCCCCAGAAGCCACCCCACAGAGAGAGAAAAGTGCCCGAAGTTGGCTTTGGCGCCAGCTCTTTTCGATTTCGTTCTCAGCCCTGCCGCCCGCAGCAGCCCTCGCCCCTTCCTGGAACAGCTCCGAGGGGGACCTGGGAGGCCCTTCCTGCCCGGGGTCCCGGCCCCTGCAGTCAGGGGTCCCTCCCGGGCCGGCGGCGCGGGGCGCAGGGGCCCTACCTGGTCCGGTCGCGGCGCGGAGAGGATGTCAGCAGAGAAAGTTGGGCAAGCAAAACGAGGAAATAGCCCCAAACAGTAATTGACATATATAGAGGGAAGGAAGCCTCAAAACTCACTTCTCAGAATTAATAAGAAATGTCAGGTTGTGTTTTTTTGTTGTTTTTTTTTCTAATGTCAGTAGATGCAGTGTACGCCAATCCGGGCTCCAGCTACACAGAGTGTTAAAACTCAGACGGAACTGCCTGCGTTGGAATCCCAGCTCTGTGATTTTGTGGCTTAACTCAGTTTTCTTGTCACTAAAATAAGGACACTAACAGGACCGCACTCAAAGCTTGTTAGGAAGGATGGAGGTGCGGTGATGGGAACAGTGCTAGTGGATAGAAAAGCTCAGCCTGGCCGGTGCGCGTGGCTCACGCCTGTAATCCTAGCTCTCTGGGAGGCCCGAGGCGGGCAGATTGCTCCAGGTCAGGAGTTCGAAACAAGCCTGAGCAAGAGCGAGACCAGTCTCTACTAAAATAGAAAGAAATTAATTGGCCAACTAAAAATATGTAGAGAAAAAATTAGCCGGCATGGTGGCGCTGCCTGTAGTCCCAGCTACTCAGGAGGCTGAGCAGGAGGATGCTTGAGCCCAGGAGCTGAGGTTGCTGTGAGCAGCTGACGCCAGCACTCACTCTAGCCTGGGCAACAGAGTGAGACTCTGTCTCAAAAAAAAAAAAAAAAGAAAAAGAAAAGCGTCAGCCTGTGTCAGTTATAATTATTTTACACCCTCAGAGCAAAAGGACCACAATCATGCGTTCTCTTCCAATAGTCAGCCAGAGAAATAATTTCCTGGGCGTTCTTCTTCCAAAGTCAGTAGCAGAGAAATAATTTCTGGGTTTCTTCTTCCAATAGTCAGCAGAGAAATAATTTCTGGTGTTCTTTCTTTCAATAGTCAGCAGAGAAATAATTTCTGGCAATGACTGATTCCTCGCAGTTACTGAAAAGACGCCATGGGCTCTTTCAAGGTGGCTGCTTAGCCGGAACCCCCTCCCCCCCAGTAACACAGTGTCCCCTGTCCCTTGTCAACTAGAGTTAAAAGGCACACAGCGGTTTCCCTTTAAAGGTTTCAGTCAGGTTGGCGCAAGAGTGAAGACACCCGGTCACGTGACGGAGTGACTTCAGCTGGGACTTCAGAGTGAGTGTCACCTTGCCCTGCCTCTCCGGCTGAGCGTTGCGTGTGACCCCTCACCCGTCAGCTGAGCTGCAGTCACCCCCCACAGAGAAGTCATTCACCCTACAAGAGCTCCGGTCGGCAGGGAGGTCACTTGGTGAGCTGTGCCCGGGCTCTGGAGGTGTGAGGTTCTGCCCGTTTGGGTCCCGAGTGTCCTGCCTTTTGACTCCAGGTCAGGGACACCCTGGGTGGGGGAGGCAGGTCCTCCCCCCCCCTCACAGGCCACCTGACCTTCTCACCGCCGCCCTCTCCTCTCCACGCCCTTGACCTAGGCACGCGCCTCGGTTTCTCCTAGCCGAACCGGATTTCTGTTTTACTTTCTACGCTCGTGTCACGACTTTGGTTTTTCTGAGCGTTCTCAGTGTCCACTGGGCGGTCTTGAGCCCAGCGCTCTGGGGTTTTCTGGTCTTTCCCCCAGGCTGGCACTGCTCCCTCTCTGCCACCTGCCTGTACTGAGCTGACATACGACCCTCTATTCCCTGAGCTCTTGTTCCTCGGGGACTCTCTGCTAAAGGCCAGGGCAAGACTGGATGGATGGGGGCACGCAGAGCCTGCCCTCGGGGCTCCCAGCCCATGCTGCTGTGCTGGCCATGTGACAGGTGCCACCGTGCCATGCCACAAGGTGATGCGACACAGGTGCACCGTGCCATGCCAGTGCCACACGGCCACCTGCATGCACAAGGTGCCACCTGCCATGCCACCATGTGCACAAGCCACATGCCAGCACAGGTGCCACCGTGCACGAGGAGGGACGCCTGACACAGCCTGCAGGCGCCTTCTCAGAGGAGGTGGCGTCTCAGGGGTTAGCAGCGCGGATGTAGTGACAGGAAGTGCACGGTCAGGGGCAGAGCTGTGCTGATGAACACCAGGCGCACGTGGGGAGCTGCAGGCGCCAGGCCTCGGGGCAGCTGGGTCCCGGGCAGGCAGGGGACAGGCCTCAAGGGCCCGGCAAACCTCACGAAGGGTCCGGATTCTATTTTGTAGGAGTGCGGAGCCACCAGGGCTTTTAAAGTGCAGCACAAAGGTCAGATTTTGTTTCCGTTAAGATCCCCGTATGGCTGCGTGAACGGTGAGACTAGAGCTCAACATTGCAAAATAAACGAGGTCTCTTTAGGCAACGTGGGCCATCAACAGCGTAAATATGTGTGCTCAGTGGCTTTCCAAAGACGGGTGCATCGGCCTGTCCCGTCCCGCCTGCCCTCTTGCGATGCCACTGTGCCCCTCCCCCGGTCCACCCAGGCTGCTCCTGCCGCCTCCTGGGTCTTGCCTGGCCTGTGACCTCTTTCCACCATAGACCTCGGCAGAGCTGATGCTGGTGCCACTTTCCTACCTTGGCCCTTAAGAGATGGAGCTTTTGCTTTCGTGTGTTTGTGACCCTGGCTCTTAGGATCTGATTGTTGTGAAAAGAGCCCAAAGGAGCCACATGGGGAGAAAGAGAGGTGTGAGTGTGTGTGTGTGAAGTCCCAACCTTCCACCGAGGGGCCACGTATGGGAGTGACCCGGCCTCAGATCTGCAGCCCCAGAGAGACCCACCCACCGGGTGCCAAGCAGCCCACGTCCCTGCCCTGCAGGATCAAGAGCAGATACAATGGGCGTTTTTGAAGCCACCGAGTTTGGGGCAATTTGTTCCACGGCAGTTATGTCCAAAGCAATACCGTAGGTCAAATAGATACATGTCCGCTAAATAACAAACCGTACCCTTGACAATTTCAGGGTCCCCTGTGTCCTCACGCCCCCAGCTTGCCACTTCATCCTTAATCACTTGCTACCAAATCCCACTTCAAGCCTTTGTCACATGTAGCTGCTTAGGGCATAGCTTTCAAAAAAGGGTTCTTAGAAAAATGTAATCCTCTGATTCTATCTTGCAAAAAGACTAGAAAATGTGGCCCGTGGATTAAAATCCCCTGGAATTCAGCTTGAATTTTCCTGTGGGTAGTTTTTTCAGACCAACTTTCAAGCAAATGTGTGTTTCACTTT